CCAAAAAAAAAAAAAAAAGATACTTGTAAAAGTCATGTATTACCTAAACTGTACAAAGAAGTTAAAATTCAGTAACAAGGAAATGAGCAACTTGACTTTAAGACCTGAACCCCACCAATAGTGATATGTAAAAAGCAATAAAGACATGAAAAGATATTCACATTGTAAATCATTAGTGATTATTAAATTGAAACATGATATACCTATTAGAATTGCTAACATAAAAATAACTGACAGTACCATATGTGGTTAAGATATGGAACACCAGGAACTTTATTGCTCATGGAATATAAAGTGGTACAACTGCTGTATAAGAAATATTGGTGAGGGGCTGGGAAGGTGGCTCAGTGGTAGAGCGCTTGCCTTGCATGCATGAGGCCCTGGGTTTGATTCCTCAGCACCACATACGCAAAAAGAAAAAAGCCGAAGTGGCTCAAGTGGTAGAGCGCTAGCCTTGAGCTGAAGAGCTGAGGGACAGTGCCCAGGTCCAGAGTTCAAGCCCCACAACCAGACCAAAAAAAAAAAAAAGAAATATTGGTGAGTTGGGTGCCAGCTCACACCTGTAGTCCTAGGTGCTTAGGAGGCTGAGATCTGAGGATCTTGGTTTGAAGCCAGCTTGGGCAGGCAAGTCTGTGAGACTTTTATCTGCAAATAACCACTAAAAAGCTAAAGGCAGAGCTGTGGCTCAAGTGATCGAGCACTAGCTTTGAAGAAAATGCTAAGGGACAGACCTGAGTTCAAGTTTTAGTATCGGTACAAAAAAAGGAGAAAAGAAGCATTGGTGGCTCATACTTATAACCCTAACTATTTAGAAGGCTGAGATCTGAGGATAGAGGTTAGGATCCAGCCCAAGCAGACAAATTCGTGAGCATCTTATCTCCAGTTAGCCAAGAACAAGCTGGAACTGGAGGCATGGCTCACGTGATACAGCACTTGCTACAAGTGAAAAAGCCAAGAGAGATTGAAAGGCCCTCAGTTAAAGTCCCTGTACCAGCACAAAAAAGAAGAGGGGATAAGAAAGTATAATAGAGGGGTGATTTTGATCAAAGTACATTACATGCATGTATGCAAATATCATGAAACCCTAATACTATCAGTCTACACTAATAAAGAATAAAAGTATATAAAAATATAAGATATAGTCTCTGAGGATACCTTTCTTGTTCAAAGACTACACAAAAGTCCTCCAAAACAAGGATAGGGGTATACAGAAAAGCATTATCCAAATTGCAGATTCTCCTGTCCAGTTATTTTCTTTTATTGTAAAGATACTATACAGAGGGTTACAGTTACATGAGTGAGGTAATGAGTACACTTCCTCTTGAACATTGTTAGCCCCTCCATTGTTTTCCCCCTACCCCCCCCCCCCCCCCCCCCTTCCCCGAAGTT